CTCTCTCTCTCTCTCTCTCTCTCTCTCTCTCTCTCTCTCGCTCTCTCTCTCTCGATGCGACTGACCCCGAGGCGTTACTGTGTGCGAAAGGTGGCTGTGTACCAGCGCGCATATTAATCCTCCGCGTTTGATACCTAGCGCTCGAATAAGCCGGGCATTCGCGTTTCTACCGAATATTCAATTAAAAGAAAAAAATACGTAATCCTTCCGCAGCGGTCTGGCCATGCTATTTCGACGATTAAAAACGACGACGAATTCTTGGTGCGTTTGTAACGCCAGCTCGCGTCCTGAATATCTTCGAGAAAACCTTTAAAAACAGATAAACGACGTCGTAAAGAGAAGCGTCTTTAGCTTTGCAGCAAAGCCAATCTCGAAATATTCTCGAAGACAAAGCCCCGCGCTTCCTAAAGCGCTCTCTCTTTTCGCACGTCCCTGCCGTACGTTCTAACGTGATAATCGAGGAGCGAAACAACCCGTATAATTCACAACACCGTCGTACAAAAGCGCGCAAAAGCCGGCACTACACGATACGGTAAATGTAGGCCAACGGTAGCGAATACACTGGATACCACGAATGCCGAATTGGCCGATATTGGGTCAATCTAAAAATTCATATCCAAAAGAACAAAAAAAATAATTAAAAAATTTACATACACACGCGCGCGCGCGCGCGCGCGCGAACGGTACGAATACACAGTGTTGTATCAGGCAGCCGTTTGCGCAGCGCTCGCCGGTGTTGTGTGCGGCAGCTGGTCTTATTAGAGTCCGGAGAAGCGTCCGAAAGTTCGTCGGTGTACAAACAAATTTCCCGAGAACGTACACACGAGATACTCTGATTAACGAAGCCAAGATATACGAAGAGACGGCTATTTACACGCGGCAATTATCAGGACGTTGTAGCGACGGTGGAAGTGGCGGCGAGAATAGAGGTGTGCATTAGCAGCCGTCCACCTGCGGCGAGCAATTATCAAGACGCGACTCGTCTAACGGACCGCGGAACGTAAAGAGGAACGAGCGAAAAAGAACGGACCAGGCGAGGGGCTTGTTAAACACTAGGCGTTTGTATTTCGCAACGCGACGTGTGTATGGAGCGTGAAGTACTAACAAGCGGCCATTACCGAACAATGGCAACTAAAACGCGCAAAGAGGGGGCCCAGCAACATTTTAACGCCCGGCTCTATCGAGGCCCTCTAATTGTGCCGCAACAAGCCGGCCGAAAATTCATATTTCGGCCAAAATCTCATATTTCGGCGTAGCAAATCCGCGCAGATCACCGCGATATTTTGCGATACGCAGCCGAATCATTGATAACGAAGACTACGAAGATTCGCGTTTCACGCGTCCTTCGTGTCTTCTGGGCGCTTCCGCCGACAGCGACAAAGTGCCGTCGATGGAAGCGTTGGAGAATTGTCAATCGCGTTCTTTTTTTCAACCGCCCAGTATTGCGATTGTAATTGCAATTACCGCGCAGATGCACATTGCCGAGTCCAAGTGTGTCATTTTTGCACGCATTAGCGCGCTAATTTGGCTGAAGCTTTTCTTGCACGTCTCTTGCTGCTTTACATTGCGTCATTGGACACATGTTTAAAGTAGATGTGTAAATTGTGATTCAATACATTTGAACGTGTGTGATTTCAAACGGTACACAGAAAAAAGGAAATATTCTTGTTTAAAGAATATTTCCTTGTTTAAAAATATTCTTGTTTAAAGAATATTTTTATAAGATTTTTAAAATAAGACGTTTTTGAAAAATAAGATTAATATTAAAATAAGATTAATATTAAAATAAGATTATATGGCGTTGGACAAAGTTAAATTAGTCTTTAATTGAGACGAATATCAAGTCAAATTAATACAATCATTTTCTCATATATAACCGACAATATTGAAATTCTTGCTTATATATGAGAGAATGATTGTGTTAATTTGATTATATTCGTCTTATGATTGAAGACTAATAATCAAGAATATTGTAATATCTTATGAAAAAATAATTGTATTAATTTTATCATATCCATCTTGATTAAATCCGGCTTTATTTTCGTTTAACGTCATATAATCTCATTTTAACATTAATCTTATTTTTAAAATGTCAATAATAAAGATATTCTTCAAATAAGAATATTTTTTTTTTCTGTATAGGAAAGGTGTAAAAGATTCAATCAAAGTAACTCACTTGGACTTGCAGATGTAATTGCGCGGTTCTCGAGTCTGTGCTTTGAAAAAAGAACAAACAAGCGATCATGGGAAGTACGTCGAGAGAATCGCGTTTGAAACGAAATCTAAGCCCGATCTTTTCGCCAGGTTATCGCGATTGCTATTGCACGGCGTGTGCAATCATGTCGTGCGGGAGTGGGGAGTGATTGCACTTAAAATTTACACGACGCGACACAGAGTGTCACGTCTGCCAACGATAACGCGCATTTAAGCGCCGACGCCGAAGTGCAGGCGAAAAGTTCGGGGCTTCGTACTTCCGCATTATAAATGTTAAATGTGGCAAACAAAACGAGAGACGAAAGCGGGTGTGCTTACCGTACCTGTGGCAAGTTTCGCTTTAAGGGCCATTAAAAATTCTAGACGCGCCACTGCGGCTGGAACGGAGATTCCCATTTCGCGCGGCGATAAGAGAGCGAGACAGGGAGAGAGAGAGAGAGAGAGCGTAGACGAGGCGGCACAGACACTCTCCAAATCCTGCGTCCTGTCTTCGCGCGGCCGACACCGATAATAACAATAATGGATGCCCTCATCTGCAATTACAATAAGCAGTTAGCGGACTATAAATCACAAAGTGGTCGGTCGCGGAAATCTTTCTTTCCGCACGTACCGTCGAGCCGAGTGCACGAGGGGGAAGGAGGGGGAAGGGAGAGAACGGGATAAGGAAACTTCTTTCCCGTTCCGCGCCGATTCCAACTTCCATTCCGGAAGTTGACGAAGCGAGGAAGAGGGAGTGAGGGAGGACGGGCTATTTAATTAGCGAACCGACGACTCGCCGCGACGCGAATAAAGAATCCCTCTCTCCCGCTCGCCGCGAGTGACGACTCCTTGCCCGCCCCTCCCTCTGGCCCCATCGGACTAATGTGCAAGGCGAGTCCGATAATTAGCTTCTCGTAATAAGCGGGTAGACCGGCAGAGAGCCGGTCTGAGAAAGAAATGCGCGCGATTCCGACGCGGAAGCCGCCCACGCTCGGCGAAACTTTACGACAAGAGTCGTTGCGAATGCCACCGCTTCTCGGTTATAATTTGATGAGTGAGCGTCGACGCCGCCCGTCCCCCTCCCCCCGGATGTATCGATTAATACGTACCCCCGCGATTGCAAGAATCATCGAGGTCGCGCGATCTCCAAAGGTCGTCGTCTTTGAAACTTTAACGACGTGCACGACCGAGTTACTCTTTGAAACAGCGAGGGCGCGAGAGTGAGTGCAAAGAGAAAGAACGAGTGGGGGAAAGAGGCAGCTTACATCGTTGCAATTCCGCGCGAAATATTCGCGCCATTTTGTTATTATCTAACGTCCCGTATGCCAAGTACTCGTTGTGACGAAAGGATCGATCATGTTAGATAGTTAGTTTTGCCCTTACCGTCTCCAGAAGTCCATCCAGGAGCAAAATGCGGTGCCGAACGCGGAGCTCGACCGGCATACATCTCGACCTGTCCAAAGTGCGTAAGATGCCAAGATTGAGATATGGCTACTTAATTCTCCACTTTCGCCGCGAGATCGCCCCACCGCCGCGCCGGCTAGGCTCGTTCAAACGGAACGCACACGAACGCGGTTATTCGTTGCAAAAACGGAAGCTACTTCGGCAATCCGTGGCAGCTTGGAAGACACGCTGGAAAAAACAGAGACAATCACGTCGCGCCGCGATAGCTACAATTATCCGCGACTGCACGACTCGGCGAGCGATCTCGTCATTAAAATGCATATGTACGTGCGCGAATCGCGTATCGGCATTTCTAACCGCAAAAGTCGTTACCCTCGGATCTTGCATTTGAGATTAGAGTGCGCCGCGGGGGAGCAGCCGCGTTCTAAAATAAGGACCGCTCGAACGACGGGAACTCCACAAACTGTATAATTTACGGGAATCGATAGTACTCGATATTCGATTAGCATCACTCTATTAAGTAAGAGACTGCTCGTCTCAGCGTTACCTATCGCGAACGTTCGCTGCCACCTAACCTTATACGAGCGTCTCGATTATCGTAGCGCTTGATTTTCTAGACCGCGCGGTGGTATACCATTGTTTTTTTCTCATGAATAGCCGATAAATCTGAGCATGTGTGCGAACTAATAGCGCTTGATATCTCGCGAGGTGGCCGCAATGCCGCACGAAGACGTACGAGGCTGCCGTGCGAGATATTCTCGCTAATGTAATTATTATCTGGCGCCCTGCGCGGCAAATACTTACCGTGCCATCAGGACCGAACCTTGTGGATAGTCATTTTGGTCCTTACCGTGTCCACAGGCCCAGCTGAGAGCGAAAACACAGCAGCGAGCACACGAGACCGCGCGACACGCAACGCGACCCGGCTGGACTGACGATATTGAGATACGGCTACCGGTCTCCCTACTCGCGCCGAGAGATGGCGCCACCGACGCGCTCAGCTAGCCTCGACGCGGCGGTACAGTAGCGTCTTCATGAACGGCTCATTCGTCGCGCGTGGCAATAACAGAAAAAACTTTGGCGTCTTTAGTAAGTGTGAAAACTTAAGCATTGAGATATTCTTCACACGCGTACTTTTAACACGTTGAATGCCGAGACAGAGACGCTGACCGCTCTGTAACCGGCATTTTGATACTGCCGCATCTCGTTGCGTCACACAAAGATCATGATTAAAGAGATGCCGGAGCGACGAACTTGATAAACGTCGATAACGTAAAACAATCAAAAAATAGAAAACGTTATCATCATTTATCGACGATATCGAATTTATATACACGTAGATACTTATGAAATAAAGACGATCGTCAAATAGGTGCTAACATGATACTATCATCTTTTCACAGATGTTATACATGTGTGTGTGCTACGTTGTCATTTCAGTTTTCTTATACATAGACGTTATGTAAATGTGAATGCCACGTGAATTGCCAATATTCTCATTCTTTCCAAAATAGGCTCTTGCTACTTTTCTAATAAATTCTTCAAACCACTTGTGTATTGAGTGCATCAAAAAAAAAAATGTTGTAGGCGCAAGTGTAGTTTGCGAATAATATTTTGAAAAATACTCATTATTTGAGTTTTTAATATAATTAGCAACGGTAATTTGAGATATCATTTTCGCACTGACCAATGTTATATTTTATTTTTGCACGTAATTTTATGATATAAATTGGAGCAGTCAGTACGCAGTATTGATTTAATTTTTTAAAAGTGAAATCAGTGTCACGATAACTATAGTTCTACATCGTTTTCATCCTTGAGGTAGGAATGTCTTATTTCATTTGTGCACGTACTTTCACTATACAAAAGCATTTTCAATTTGGTCAAGTCAACACAAAGTAAAATTTGTTGGGAAATGTCGTTGACGTGATACCGAATACCTTTGCAAAACTATTGTCTCGTGCTAATTCGATAAAATTAAAAACCTTTTGCATGGTGAAAGTAAGTGCAAAAATGAAGCGGAGCATCTATTAATATGAGACAAAAACGATAAAGAACAGTTACCATCACGACATCGAATCTTTCTGCAAAGTTTACTTATTTCTACCTCCGTCGAATGAAAAGCTTTTTGCATGGTGAAAGTACGTGCGAAAAGTTTACTTCTTTCTACCTGTGTTAAATTAAAAACCTTTTGCATAATGAAATTACGTGCAAAAATGAAGTGCAGCATCCCACAATATGAGACAAAAACGATAAGGTTCAATTACCATCACGTGCGAAAATGAAGTGGAGCATCCTACGTGATACGAGAGATGATGCAGAGCGAAATAGTCAAACTAGACTTCATGTCATTTTCGAAAATACATGTTTGCGGACGCGAAAATTACTTTAAAAAACTAGTAAGATATCCCAGAATATGCTAACATTATGTGACCTAAATAACCTGCAGTAACATGACCGACTTTCGGCCCATGCGCAGAATATGTCCCGTGCGCATGCACGAGAATATTCGAATACGAATACGCGAGAATACGAATATACTGATACGATGGATCTAACGTTATAGGCGACTTTCGGATATTGGGAAATTATTTTCAAGATGTTGGGCATGCTGCTAAGGAATTGAAGTGACACAAACACACATTGTCACTCAGGAGACAATGCAGAACGAAATAAGCACACCTGACGTAATTTTCGAAAATACATTTCTTTAAGCGCAAATGTTACTTTAAAAAACCCTAAAAAACAATCCCAGAATGTGCTCTACATGCTAACGCTACATGACCTAACCTGCAGTAACATGACCGACTTTCGGCCTATGCGCAGAATAGGTCCCACTGTGCATGCGCGAAAATCCGAATATACTGCTACAATGGATTTAACATTATGGGCGCGACTTTGGGACATTGGGAAATTTTTAAAATTCTGGATGTGTTATTAAGAGAGTAGAATGACATAAACTGAGGAACTCGATCACGACGTTTCTCTATCCAACAAGTAAAAAAGTAAATGAAACGCGGTAATTACCTGTCACGGTAAAGCCCACAACACTTGCTCGCGTGAGGAGTACACGTCTTAATTTGTCTTAATTATCGCCTCAATGTCGAAACGCGCTATTAAAAATCAACACGGAATAATCTAAAATATAACGCGGCAGCTCCCGATATGCTCGTCTCGACGGTTGAGAGTGTGTGGCGTGACGTTCGCGCACGTGTGTCTACATAACCCTACTGCGCACCCTCCAAGCACCGCTCAGTCAGCGGCATGAGCGGGCCGTTACGAGTTTGTTTACCTAGCTTTTGTGGAGCTTAGAGTTTTTGTTAGAGCCATTGCCCAGGTATTGTTATAACCGATTATTCGATCATCATTATTTCGTAATTATCCACTCGCGGATATTATCACACAATTGTCGAACAGATATTATTATCATTATCATTTAATATTCGAGTATACAATACCTGGATAACGGCTCTACCAAAAACCTTAGCCTCAACAAAGGCTAGGTAAATCGACCGTCGTAACGTTCCGCTCGGGCCGTTGACTGAGCGGCGCTTGGTGGGGCGCGCGGTCGGGTCATGCAAACACGTGTGCGTAAGCACATGCTCGAGCGTCACACCATGACACTATCAACCGTCGAGGCAAACGCATTGGGAGTTGCCGCGTTATTTTCTAAATTATTCCGCGCCGATTTTTAATACCGCGTTTCGATTTCGCGACAATTAAGACGACAATTAAGACAAATTAAGACGCATACTCCTTACGCGAGTAAGTGTTGCGGGCTTTACCGCCACATGTAATTACAGCGTTTCATTTACGTTTTTACTTGTTACATAGAAAAATGTCAATTGTTCCTCAATCAAATATTATCATCATCCATTTAATATTCCAATATTATTACTTCTTTGTTCGATTATTATTTAATTTATTCGATTATTACTTAATTATTGCTATTACGTATAGGAAAGCAACTCGAGCGTGCCGTTACGACGATTTCTTTACGATTTCTTCGTCTTTGTTCAGTTATTATCGTCGATAAACAGTTGCGATAAACAGTTGCGTGGGCTCTGAGAAAACTATATATATATATATATATATATATATATATATATACACACTCAACACATATATATATATATATATATATATATACATTCTGAATATTCGGACGTTATAAAAAGTGCGATAAAAGTACAGTGCCATCTCGAAAAATATCTGTGAACTAATTTTTCGCTCTACTTTATCATAGTTGTCGGAAAACCTAACCGCATGTAATCATAAAACATGTAATCATAAAGTTTTCTGCAAACTTTTCGTATCCTTTTTGGCATCGAAACTAAATTCTGAAAGTGTAGTAGAGATCTTTGAAATTTTCCTGAGTGGAGCATCCACAGTTTCGGTATGTACAACCTGCAGAATGTTTGTATTAAACAAATATTACATTAACTGACAGCTCAAAATTTAAACATATTTAAACATATTTTTTTCGTTTTCATCACATATTAAACAATGCTCCAATTTACTTTGGAATGCACTTTTGTTGTGTAAAACAGTTTGTAATTCTGTGCAAGCAACAAGTCGTAAATTTTGAAAAAAAAAAGTCAATGTTATGTCGGTGAAGTTCATATTTATTAACTGGCTGTATGGCTAACTGAGCCGATGAAATGAATTGAAAAATACAGACTCGTCTCGGGTTGCGTTCATTTGCCGTGTACCTTTGTTAATCCAATTATCGATTGAGCCTTTTATCGGAAATCAACGTGGCAGTCAACGTGTAAAAAAAGCTTATATAACCAAACGACATTTATAATGAAACATTTAGAACGTGATACGCTTCGTTGTTAACAAGCCCAAAAGCTGTTTCTGCCAGAGTTCACTTTGAAAACGGAAAGAGAAATGGAAATTATTTGTCGTGAAAATTAATTTATTGAATCTTTATACAAGAATATCAATTTTTTTTATCAAGTGGCTATATATAATATAGAAAAATTAATTTACACTTGTGAACGTTAATGGATAACAAAAGGCGTCGTAAGCTCGCGTTATGCTTATTATATGAGATAATAATGCGTGTGGGAGCTTTTCTTGTAAGCGTTGTTAAAATTTTAATTGATAACGAAAGAGAGAGAGGGAATAATATTACATAAGATTAACAAGTCTATAATATTCGTCTTAACTGTTACAAACAACATTTTTGTGCGCCCGCATCGCCGTTGACGCGAATACTATTCAGCTACTAGATACTCGTATGACTACTACTCGATCGTGCAAATAAGTGTAATGAAACAATACAAAGTATAGCACCTGCATTTCGACAATTACGACTCGAAAATGTACCAATTTCCGCGATCGATATTCTTTTAGGCATTTTTTATATAAACTACGTCTAATTTATTATTTTAAAATGAACTTCTCTTAGCATTGCGATTTGATTAGTCGGTATAAAAGTGAAACTCGTAAAGTTTCCGCGACTTTAGTGGACAGGTACCTAAATTCATCATGCTGATCCGCGGTGTTTAATTAATCCTTAATTAGCCGCAGTCGACCGCTGCAGTTTGGAGTAATAATCAAGACTCGCGAATTGCAATTCGGTCCGCTGTGCACGCGATTCTCGCCGCAAAGTGAAAAATAAAGTATATGTATGTAAAGTAAATTCGCGGACGGATGAAAGCAGATCGGTCGATTGTCCCCGTGAACTTAGGTGTAAATTATACTCCATGCTCATTCCGTCGATAACGCTATTTTCAGGTCGTAATGATCGTATACGTACATTATATACAGAAGCATCTTTCGTACATAAAAATATATATATTATATACTTCTCTTTATATTATATTCTCGACTCGCACGCACCACGTGTGACCTGATACGAACATAGCGCGACTTACCGTGGGAATGTGCAATATAATAGATGTGATTCTACGTGCTAGTATTATTATCCACGATAAACATAAACGTCTCTCTCGGTGAAAGTAAAGCTTCATGGTGAAATCGTTACGACGTGGCTTCGCGGATCGCAATAATTTAGTCGATACATTACGTAAGGGGTGCACGACCGCGAGGGAGGATCGTTACGTGGAAAATACTCGCCAGGTGATATGCAAGCGACGCGACGATCGTTCTCCCGAGTATTCCCGAGGAAATATCCCGTGTAGGTGTTCCTCCGAAAATCGTCTCGTGATCGAGACGCACGAGAGCACGACGTTATCCGTCGCGACGGTCCGCGACGACCCTTCGAGAGAGAGAGAGAGAGGAGGGAAGGAGGGGAGATGTCTCCCGCGACGGGAAACGCGCAGTTAGTTTTACATTAGCGGTTATCTCCAGGTCGTAAGCCTATTGTTAGACTCGAGGTAGCGTGTCAGCTCGAAATTGCGTGCCGCGCCGGTCTAATCCGCGCGACCTAAAAGTAGTCCTTAAGTAATGACGCGCGAAGCGGCTCTCTCGCCATTGTCTTGGCCGGTACTCGCTACATTCGGCCGATCTCCTTTCTCCCTTTCTTCCTGCCTGCCTTCCTTCCGTGATATTTCTATTCACGACGCAGCGCATCGTCGGCGAGTAATGACCGATCGCGCTTCCCCGAGACGCTTTCCCGATGAACGAGAACGTCGTAAGGACAGGACTCTCAAAATCGTAAAACTTTCTCGTCCCGATAACGTTCGCCGTCTCTCTACAAATATTTCAACGTCCCGACGCTAAAGGCGTCTCGACGATGGTCTCGAGTGAAACGCGATTCCTCGACTTGGTCCTTTAACGAGCGTCGGAAAACCGACCTCTGCGCCCTGTAACGATCACTGTTCGCTCGGCCAACGGGAATTTCCGGCAGACAAGGCGGAGGTGAAGCTACTCGAGAGCAGCCTCGAGGAACGGCCTCAATTCCTCTTGCTGGAGTTGATGAGATATTTGCAGCAGTGCGTGAGCAGATGCTTCTCGCCGGTGACGTCATGCTGCACGGCCGCCGCGGTCGTGGACTCTCTGGTGTAGACGTCCAAGCCGTACTGACCCTCCTCGGGGAAGCTTATGGAAAAGGTGACCACGTCGTCGTCAGCGATGGAATGCGTCACGTACTTGGACAGGCGCTTCTCCTCGATGCCGTTCTTATGCAGAGTCGCCATGAAGTCCGTCAACGGCCTCGACATGCGAAATTGAATCTCCAGTTCGCGGCCGGCGAACACCAGTGCCTCCTGAAATCGATAGATCCAGCGATTGTAAAACTCGTTCGCCCCCGCCCCCGGCGCAGTGCAGCGAGGCGTGATAAAGTCAACTGATCCGCTCTCTCGATTCTCTCACCCTCTCTGCCTCTCTTTTCGGCAATCTTCGCCGATCATCTCTCTGTTCGTCTGTTTTCTCTCTTTTTTTTTTAACTTTATACTCTCTACAAAAGGATGTGAAAATGGGAGAAATATATTCGCAGAATCGATCGCGAGACGAACCTGTACTAAACGACATTCGTCGCGCGTGAAATTTTCAAAAATAAGTCGCAATATTGTACACGACGGATACTGAAGCGCATTTTACATCGTATAGAGCCGTTTAGAGCCTTACAATTGTTTAAAGTTTTATTAAAAAAGAGAAAAGTTCCGAAATCCTTCTGATGATTTTTTGTATCACGCACTGACGTCGATTTTGCATTGACTAAAAAAAAAATCACCTGAAAATTCATCTGTGGAATGTAAAGTTTATTTCTGTGAGATAGGATTGATATCTGTTTACAAATAAAGTTTACAAAGCACAAATAAAGTTTCAGGTATTTTTCTCAGTGCGTGACAAATTCGTTACAACGATCACTCAATTAATTTTGACTCACCTGATGAGTGATGGGTATAAGTCCGAATAACCTGGTTGCTTTTGTAGGGCCCCATTCGCCACTGGCGCAGTCCGGCAACGGCACCATCACCGTCTGCAGTTCTTCGCATGCAATTTTGAATTTGCACACGCTCTTGAACTTCATTGGCTCGCCCGTCAAGTACTCCTTCGGCGTCACCGCGTTGGCAAATATGTCCAGGAGGAAGGCGCCCGAGCACGGTGCGTGGACCCGAAACGCTACTATGTTCCCCACGACCGACTGTAAGTAATTCATAATTTGCCACTCATAATTGAAACAATTGACGAGAAGCTGTTTTAGTATTATTGCTCTCTACTCGCGCTCTAATTCTCGTTGTTAGTTCTCGAGATTAAATTTTCTAGTCTGGGAGCAACTGATGAGTCAAGCTCTGATGAGTCGTCAATATTCAATTATCTATATTTTAGTATCTTGTTTTGTATTTATGTTTCTTTGATATTGTTCTCTACTCGCACTCAAAAGCTCATATTAATAATCATTACTTAAACCTCCTCTCAGATGATATACTCAGATTTGAGTTCACAGTTCGTATTGGTTATCCCTTGAAACTTGCCTCAGGTGAGATACTCAGATTGCAATTCAGAGTTAGACATGAGTTTTTCAGTTGAATCGCAATTGCACACAAATGTGATGTTACATATTAATAATTCACGTAAAAACTGTGATCAGTCTCTAAATTCAAACCTAAATATTTCACGTAGAACAAGTTTCAAATAATGACTATTGATACTGGCCTTAGATGAGAATTTTCCAGTTACATAAATCGCGACTATAATATCATATAACATAATTCAACTGAAAAACTCGAATCTAGCTCTGAATAAACAAGTTCTGAGTACCTCACTTGGGACAAACTTCAAGTAACGACTGTTAATGCAGGCCTAATTCCCGTTGTTAGTTCTCGAGACTAAATTCTCAAGTCTGGAAGCAACTCGTTGCTCTGATGAGTCGTTAGTAGTCAATTGCGCGTATCTACTCTCTCGCGACATTTGAGCACTCAAACGGCGGCACTTAAGAGCCACGCGGGATAAATCGTCCCGCACGGAAGACGCGGACTATCAATTTACCTGCATGACAAAACGCTTGAGCGACACGCCGTCGTAACCATCGCCGTCGTTGTCGTAAAACTTGAGATTATAATGAAAGATAAGGGATGATTGCATATGCGCCGGCATCGCTATCCTCACGGTCGCAGCGCCAGTGGAATCCGTGTACATAACGGCATTCGTATTCGTATCCGGAAAGTAAAGACCGTACCTGTAAGCGCAGAATTTATCCGAACGGTATTTTACTCTCTTGGCGACTTATTGTTTAATAGACCGATGCGCGCTTCCCTCGACTCGCTTCGTGCGCGCGAGCGAGCGGATTGTCGATTTAATAATTGCATCTCCCAACACACAGCCTCGATAAAACACTAACTTGTTGCGCATTCGAGGTTGTTGTCGCACACGGTGAATTTAAATCCTCCTAATTAATGAGCGAGGTGTATAATCAGCGTTCATCTTAATCATCATGATATAATTGGAAAGGAGTTTTACAAGAGAAAGCCAAAGTTTCTTCCACTTCCGCTTTTATCTCCGTCAGCGATCTCTCTGTCAGCGATATATCCGCGTAAAATTCGATCTCCCCTCCCCCTCCCCTTCCCCCCCCCCCC